ATTTGGAATCATGTTTCAGGCCATCTGACAAATATACATCTGATATTCATTCTAGTTTTAGCTCTATTTTTGGTGTCTACTCACTCCTTAGGGAAGTATCTGGCGCGCCAGCAGCTAAATGCTCTACTGTGTTCACTGCAGCTACTCAACAACATAGCCTGTCTGTTGTTTGATGCTGGGTAGCATGCACCCAGTTTAACACAGCCCTGTTTCTAAAGACAGCTGGTTTCAGTTGATGAGAGATCTGTGAGGAAACGGTAAAGCTGTGAATTATGAAATCAAAACAATGCTCCAAAGAGCTGAGAGCAGCTGCAGAGCTGGACAGTGACTTTCAGTTGTTCCATTTCTATGAACCACATCTTTTACATTGGACTTTTTCATTTGATTGTTAAGGCTACAGTGCATAACTTAAGATAGCACTGGCATGATACTCCAAGTCAGTCCACTTTGCTCCATCCACCACTCCCCCTCCCTGCTCCACTGTGCTCTACTATGTATGGCTACACTCCACCACCCTCTGCCCAGCTCTTCAGATATTGGTCGTTATGAAATTACAATAAATGAGAATGTAACAAAGCTTACTAATCAAGCAAAAATAATTGAAAATCTCAGATTGGTTAGAAAGGTCAGTCCTGCTCAAAACCTTTTAGAAGCTAATATCTCTGCACTGCTGCCAGCTCTGTCTGGGTTGTGGAGCAGATTTCTACAACACAATATTTGAAAAATGTTACATATTGTAGCTTTACTTTAACATAAAAATGTGTTTATTGCAGCTCTAACATTTTTGTTTAAGTCACAAAGACAAAATGCTTGAGAAAACTGAAGACCAAATATGAGGATCTGAATAATGTAAGAGGGGCCAGATAAACAGCTGTGATATTTTCTTGCTAACTTTAATAGAAAAGACTGTTTGTTTTTGTGTGTGTAAAATTCAGACCAGCTATTTGCAGTAGTCCTGTTGGCCTTTGTCTATTTGGCAGTTGGCTTCACTCAGCAGTGTCTGACCCTTAAATTTATTAACCTCCCCCGATGTGGTCTGAGGAGTAATTACATCTGCCAAAGGATGAGATGCGTTAGTCCTCCTCTCTCAGAAGGGCTCAGTTAGTCAACCTGATGCTGGTGTGTGTGTGTGTGTGTGTGTCCATGTTTAAACAGCGCTAATTGGCACTTTAAGTGTTTGGATTCCACCTTCTCCAGAGTGTCTTCTGTGTCACCACTTTCTCAGGCTGCCAGTCGATTGAAATCTGTCCCCTCAGCAGCTGTTGTCAAGGACCTTACCATAGCCCCCAAAAAGAAGATTCCCAAAGGCTAATTCACCCGTCTCCTCTTGCACTACATCTAACAGCCTTCTCACAAGAAGCTGGGTGCAACCAACACTTTCAGGTGTCATTTAAAATTTTGCCTGGCTTCAAATGCCACAGGACCTGCAGCAGTAAAGTTGAAACCCTTTTTTTACACCTGTGTGTTTTTGACAGGTACATCATATGACAAAGCAAAAGGCGTCAACACCTAATGAAGGCCATAACCATCCTTTCAGATATCACCCTGAGTGACTGTGTGAGTCTACTTGAGTCTAGTCAAGGGTTTTAGGTGTAAGGTTTGTTGTGCTGGGAGACACTGGAGATGATGTTTCATGTAAAGGTGTTTTCTTTTATAACAAAGAAACAACCTTGATTAAGAAGGCTTTCTTTAGTCTGAATAGATACGTGTTGTAATCACAGATCCTGGATCAGTTCACAACTCTTTAATGAGGCCTGCTCCAGCTGGAAGGCTGTCGGTGCTGCAGCTTTGATCAGAAGCCCATGGGCAGGGGATTACACTGCTAACACACTGTGCTAATGGAGCCACAGGGCAAAAGCACACATATGTGAAGCGAATACATGTCTAAACACACAAGTGCTATGCGAATACATGTCTAAACACACAAGTGCAGCACGCCCACTAAATACAAATGCAAATTTAAGAAATATACATACAGTATAAGCACACTCATGTTCTGACAAGGACACAGTCCCATAAGCCAGCGTCTTGTTCTCATGCAGCCCACTGTGTCAGGTGATTTCATCTGGCTGCGTCTGTCTGTGGCGGTTTGGGTCGGCTGAGTTATAGGCTCGCCATTGAAGCCTGTGCCAAAGACGGCTCGGTGAGAAGGGTCCAAAGCTCAGCACTGACACACAAGTCGAGAGACTAATGGCTTGTAGCTCCCAACATATGTTGCTTTGTGTAATGGCTTTAATTGCTGTCATTGTACGTAATGGTTGGTCTTTTTCATCTTCCCTGGTGGTGGAGGCATTCTGCTAATTATATCTGTTAGCCCTGCAGTCAAAACGAATGTTTCATTGTAAATTCAGAGCACTGGGATTTTAAAAATCAGTCTTTCTTTATATTGTTGGGGTGTGGGTGTAAATGACAGATTTCAGAGTGTTACCATCGGTTATGAATCATTTTAGGTTTCATAAGTAATTAACAGACTCCCCATCATAGATCTGTTTAGACAGAAGTGGGTTCTTGACTTTACTTATCAGTCAAGTCTGAACCTTGACCTGCATCTCATTTTGTTTCTCTTGATATATGTATTTATTTGGCTTACTTTTTAATAAGTCCAAGACTGAAATGAATTATAACTGTGTAAAACCTGAAAACGCGTTTTTCTTCCTCAGGTATGACACCATCACCAACCAGTGGGAAACAGTGTCCCCTCTGCCCAAGCCAGTCCATTCTGCAGCGGCCACGGTGTGCGGAGGGAAGATCTATGTGTTTGGAGGTGTGAACGAGGCCGGGCGGTCGGCCGGTGTCCTCCAGTCCTATGTACCGCAGACCAACACCTGGAATTTCATTGAGTCGCCCATGATAGGTAAGGCAGGTGAAACGCATTTACACAAACCTTCTTTCACACACAAGCGTCAACACAAAGTGAAGCCATGCTATGTCCACTGAGGATGTGTTGCCATTGTTACCGTCACCTTTTATATTATGACAGTGCTGTCGTTTCCTTTTTAAACCAGTGTCTACCAGTATGTGATCTGACTTTCCCAAATGTGTGGTCTCTTGTCCCTCATTATGCCTCCACATTCTCATTTGAAATTGAATTACACAGCCATTAGCTAAATTGTTCTCCTTCAAGACATCATAAAAGCATGAATATTAATGTTCGCTTTTTATTAGCAGTGCAACAGCAAAACTGGAAAAGACGCACGTTGCAGCAGCATTACTTTAACAGTTTATATGAATTTATTCCTTTAATCTTGGGTTACTGGCATCTTGCTATCTCATTACAGAGCAACAAGGGGTCTTTGGGCCTCCATTATTGTTGCCTGGTTGCCAAGCAGCTGTGGTCTAATGACTCTACCCACCTGAACACTTTCCATATCGTGTACTTGACTACTGCTGTCAGAGCCAAAGTGAATTAAGAAGGAGAGTGATGACATCTCCATTGACTCTATCAGGACCATATTTTTGCAGTAATGGTGGATCATGGGAATGTCAAATAGTTCCAAACATTAGCAGCAGCACCATAATGTTACACTGACCTGGCTGCTATCATCTGAAGTAAGAAGATTAAATCAATATCAATAATTATACATGTGACATTTTAGGTGTCAAAAGATTTTTTACAACCTTCTGACTGTCTCTCTCAAACACTGGGTAACTTTAATAATTAGGTATCAAGCTAACTAGCTAAATTAGCTGAAATGTCTACAACACAATTGATTTGCAAGGCTGTACAAGTCATTACAAGTAGTAGTAGCTGATAAATCCCTCTGTTCCCCACAGAAAACAATGAATCTGAATTGCTGTTTGGAACTGTTTGAAGCTACATGAGTCATGTGACCTGCCGCCATTTTTGACCCCTCAGTGTCACAACTCTTCTATCTTAAGGACTCTGGTCAGAACCACCAAGACCAGATTGCCGTTTGAAGGCAACTTTGTCATAATAGTGTGTCTCACACAGAATCTTTTGTAAATGCTTCATGCCTGTGTTGCACTTCACATACAGGGAATCCCCTGCAAAATCTGTAAGTGTGGACATCCAATTTTGAGGTGTTGCTTAATTTTCTAGAGGGCAAAGAAGGTGGGAAACCTTCTACAAATGTGAATTTAGTCTTCAGTGTTAGTTTATTTCAGTGAAAAGGTTGACCCGCACTCACGGAAAATTCAGCGGTCAGTGTGTGTGACCTTTTCCATTCCTGTTGTTTTCTCCTTATCATTATCATCCTCAGTATTTTCCATTATTCCCCTTCTTCCCATTTCATTGCTCTATTATAATAATGAGAAGTGAGTCTGACCATAGCTTCTGACATGTTATTGGCGAAACTCTATAGTTATTCACTGTGCAAACCTGCAGCCACATTCCAGTCAGAGCCACCTGGGATCTGTGGAGGACATAGCACCAGAAGGAACATTTTAACCAAGCTGCTCCAAGGTAGCAGGAAAAAAAACACAGCGTACAACTCGGTATGATTCAGAACACTGACAGCTGTGTTCCCAGTGCAAGGATCTTATCCACAGGCAGGTTTTTATTTTTTCACAAAAATATATCTTTGAAAGATGTGGTGTAGGGATGATTGCTATTTATCCGTGCATTTCTTGTGAGTCCTTAGATTTTTATTTGACTCAGATACGTTATATGAGAGCGGTATATCTCTTCTCATGCAACTCTCTCTGCAATAAGAAACAAAAGATTTCCTAAAATGTTGTTGCTCCTTTAAAGCTGCAGCAAAAATGAATATTTTAAAACCAATAATAATAATTTTCCACACAAATATAAAACCATATATTCTGCATTTGATGCTGGATTGCCCCATGTAAGATATTGGTACATAGTGGGTTCCCAAGCCAAAGAGTTGTTTGCATGCTGCTTTTTTTTAGAAAATGGAATTATTATCTCAAATAGTGGCATACTGTTGTGTCGGGCAACACTCAGCGCAGCGGGCATCAGAGAGAAGCACAGGGTCAAAAGTGTATTTAAATTCCAATGATTCCTGAGAAGAAGTTGCTCCTGTGTGATTAAAGTGCCAGTGCAGAGGCACTTCCTTCAGCACAGTTGCCCAGAATCTTGCTCTCTGTTATTAGTGCCTTTTCAGAGCGAGCCGACTATGAGCGAAATGATGATTATGTAAGGCGGTTGTTTGGGGCCAAAGCTGAATGGTATTGAAGGGCTAGCACAGCAGCTGACTGAGGAGAATTCAGAGTGAAGCCTGGTGAGTAACACACACCCGGGCTTACAGAGATGCAGACACACACAGCTTCTCCTTACATCATATCAACCATCCATCCCCAAGGGCACAGGTACACACAGTGCATGAATTATGTAACGAGCCGGGAGGTTACTTCACATGTATGTGTGTGCGTGTGCATGGTGTTTCTCTTTTTATGTCTATGTGAGTGTGCCAGACAGATGCAGACAGACATCAGACCTTCATCTGTCAGGTTGTAGATGAGTCTGTGTCTGACAGCCAACGAGCCAAGAGATAATGGACGGGTTTAGTGCTTCCTGTGAAACTGGGCTGGCAATGATTTTAGTGAGCCGGTGGGGAGCGCTTCTCCGTCAGCCCTCTGCCTCCCTCCATCGCTCTTCCTCTCTAATCTCTCTGTTCATCTCTTTCTCTTTGTCTCACTGTCTCCCCCCCCCCTCCCCCCCCCCCCCCCCCCCTGTCTTATCGACTGACATAAACACAGCTGTGCACATTTTTTATGATTGTGTACCGGTGTATTTACAGTATGTGTGTGTGTGTGTGTGTGTGTGTGTGTGTTCTCTCTGCATGGACCGTCTCCCGCATGGACCGCAAATGGGTTTCACAAACACTTATCAGGACTGACTTCCTATCTCTTGCAAAGTGAAAAATAATATTACTCGTGCCAAAAGTAGTCCCGTCAACAAGTCCGTTGAGATGCTCCGTGTCTCTGCAGCATCGTTCATCTGCATCTTCAATATAGCCGTCTGCTGAGCAACGTGCACTCGCCGAGCACTTAATTTAAGTGCATATATATATTATATAATTAAGACTGAGGTCATGGTTAAAGGCGGTGTTGTACTGGCCTGCATTATATTTAGATGTGTTCCTAATGTTCTGATCCTCTCATGTATATCAATATAAAGGTCAGAAATATAAGAGACAACTCTGAATGGATAAATGCACCCATAGTGTACATAGTGTAAACTAGTCACAAAGTCTTGTTGCTTTTCTGTTGCACACCCAAATCATCAAAATGCCAACATTCTGAGGGATCTGTCAATGTCAGAGGTGACAGGGATTTTGTTTGTGGTGATCACAGCACAGAAAAATTACATTTAAAAAATTCAGCATGCATCATCTCTGTAAAAGTGTCCGTTGCTCTGAATAATTTATATTTCTCTTTAATTTATCAATTCTTCTGGCCCTGTACCCACAGTACTGCTTCTCAAAATGTTCCTTCTCCACAAATGATTGGTTAGATTTGCACACTATTGAAATACTTGCTCCTGTTTGGCTTCTTTACAATATTTCAGACACTTTTCACAATTGTGAAGATAGATTTCAGAGAGGTGGATCCCCCACATTTCTTGTATTTTTAAAACATATCCACATCATCGCTCTTTCTCAGCCAGACTGTGCTTTTGTCATTTTACCAAACAGACCAGAAGTCAGTTTATAATAAGAAAAAGCATTGGCAACTTCTAGAACTCTTTTTTTTTTCCATTTGAGTGAAATGAAATCCTAAGGTCCAACAGATCATCTTTAATACAAGACTTTTGGCTGTGCTAGTCCACCACAACACCACCACAGCTCAACAACTATTGGATGCATTGACATGACAGTTAGTTCTCAAATTCATTTTCCCTTCAGGATGAATTGTATTAACTTTGACGATTCACTTAGTATTGTGTCGTCATCATATCAAAATTTCAGTATTTATATGCTTATATATTGTTGTATCAACCTCTGCTGTACTTTGGCTAGATGCTCATTGTCAAATGTGAGCATGCTAACACACTAAACTAAAATGGTAAACATGGCAAATATTTCTGTCTGGACATCGGCACTGTCATTATGACCACATTACCATGCTGATGTTACACTGAGGATTCAGCTCAAAGCATTACAAGCACAGTCTGTAGTTGTAGCCCCCCGCAAAACATGTTCCCTTGAGTTATATGGTGACAAAAAGGAAGAATGAGGAATATATGGAGGTGTAATGTATTAGGTGGGAAACAAATTCTTAGGTTTTGTGAAGTATTTATAATATTTAATATTCATGACTAAGTTTACAACATCTTCAGGTGTAATTTAACTCTAACGTTTTAGGTATGGTTTGATCAGATTTGACTGACAGTAACTAAACAACTCACCAATTGTCATCATATTCTGATTCACACATCACTGACTCAGTGATGTCCCGGTTCACCAGATTATGTGACCTTTTTCTAGATGTAGCCCTAAGCATTTAAAACAAGTGGGAAGATGAGAGAGAGAAAATAATGAATCTCTAGTGTGGCAGAAATTGGGATGTTTAAGACCCCATCACTCATAGCTAGACATCCATAAGGCCCTTAAAACCTGAAACTTATTGCAGGACTAGATACCACACATCCTCTCAGACATACTTATATGAAACATACACAACACACAGTGCACTTTCCCAGCTAACACACAGATCTTCATCGACTGGTCGATGCCAGGGAACCGGCAGCAGAAGCCAGACTGTATCTATCGGGAAATCGACTGCGGAACAATTACCCGTGCAAATGATGTAGCAGCCGAATGGGTACAGTGTTTGAGAGCACCATTATGGAGGTGGTGCAAGGCAAAATGACATGGCAAGTTGCAAAAGATGTTTCCATAGTTACCTAATTGGATGTGCACCCCCACTCCA